TACCGACATCAAATACAGTGAAAGCAGGGGTTATACTGTGGGGAAGGGACATACAAAGCAACAAAGAAATAATCTTATAAATGTGTTAGAAATAATCCCATGAAAGAAAAAAAACCATTTGAGTACATATCTTAGGGCTCAAAATTTGCATTTCTTACTTCTTGCATGTACCCTAGGAACACTGGCAATACTTCCTCCACCAATCATCAATGAGGAAAGTGTGTTCAAAGAGTGAGGTAATGAAAGCAGTGAGACTTGCAAGATCCAGATTGATGATCAGCATCTATCTTCATTCACACAGGAAGATGTCCCCTTTTCCCTTCATGTGTGAATGAGAAGATACAAAACCAACCCCATAGGCTCCGACAAGGCAATAGGACCTGTAAGGTGTCACCATAACTTGGTGGCTGGAACTTGAGCCTCACATTGGGTTATATCAAACTCAAAGAAGAAAGCCAATGCAAAGAGACAGAAAGGAGAGACAGTCTGCGGAGACTTGGGGATCCTACAAAAGCTCCAGTGCAGTTTGCATGAGCTGAGCCAGCTAGAACAGGGTTCTGTGCCCGAATGCACCCTGCAGATGGCCAGACAGGCATGAGGGGAGGAGGTCTTTCCTGTTTTGGACCAAAGAACTGGAACAAAGGCAGGATACCAAAGTGATGGAGGCTTCTAGTATCCTAATGCCTGTAGGAAGGCCGGCTCCCTAAAGCAGAGCAGCTGATACATGGGCTAGACTTGAGGAAATCACATTCTTTCCAAGTAGAAAATGATAGGTAGGAACTTGGGGCCTGTGACCCTAAAATGAGAGAAGCTCAAAGAGAGAGGCTCAGCAAAGCAAAATGAACCCTGACCCATCCTGAGGGGTGGCAACAGGCACAGGTCTAAAGGAGCTTTTATGTTTTTCATGACATGTTCTGTTTAGAAGAGGACATGTATAAAGATAGAAGGAAGGGTGCAGTACCAAGGACAAATCAAGAAGAGTGACATATTTCTGGGAACAGCATCCAACTTGAGCCAAGATTTGTAAGAGAAAAAAGAAAGTGTTGGGTTGAGAAGGTGGCTCAGTGGTAGAGTGCTTGCCTTGCATGCATGAGGCCCTGGGTTCGATTCTTCAGCACCACATAAGCAGAAAAAAAAGCCGGAAGTGGTGCTATGGCTCAAGTGGTAGAGCGCTAGCCTTGAGCTGAAGAGCTGAGGGACAGCGCCAGGCTGAGTTCAGGCCCCACGACCGGACCCACCCCCCCAAAAAAGTGCTAAAGTTGTCAAAAAAAAAAGGAAAGAAAAGGTGGAGTAGATGATTTGTAGCTATGATGAAAAGCGATGAGGCCCATTGCTCAGGAATTATGATGGTGGAGAAGATACTGTAGGTAAAGTAACTTAGTGCTTGTTTATGCTTAGTCTCTCTGTAGAAGGAAAAGGGTCTTCTAACTACAAAGGTTTAAATAAACACCATTAAAAGGGCAGTGGTGGAGTGAGGGTGTAGCTCCATTGCACAGTGCTTTCTTAGCATGTACGAGGACCTGTGTTCAATCCCCAGCACCACAGGGGAAGAACAAAACAAAACAAAAATAGCAGTGGATTGTAAGGGAGAAGGGTGGGGTACAGTAAGTTGTGAAGCCAAATTTCCAAGTCCGGTAGGCTCACAGCCCAGGGGCCGGGACAAACCTATGAATAAGATAACAGAGCCAGCAGAGTCAACATACTTTATCTCTGAGAAACTATTGAAGATGTGCAAGGTTCTAGAAAACAGTTGCTTTTGAGTGTCCTAACTTACCTAACAGGAAAAGATACATAGGTTTGGCAAAATTTTAGTCATATGATTTAGAGTTCCTCTAAATCCTTGGAAAAGGAAAAGGTGCTGTTTTGAGAAATACACGATTGAGAAAAAGAAGCCAGACCTGAAGATTATTTTAGTTTTTTCCCTGGGCAGTTGGAAGAGGCTACTTACAGTTACTATGTATCTTGAGGACAACAAAGAATTAAACATTAGTCCTGCATATTTAGACACTGGACAATGGAGCGGTGATGACACAGTTCAAGGATCCCTGGACAGTGTTACAGTTCCGTGCCTACTCGGCTATCAGCAGCTTCTGCACCTATGTCACATCCTGTCCCCTTCTGTAGCATCACCTTCCTTTGTCTAGCTGTTTATTTCCAGACTCTGCTTGAACAGCACCTCCCACAGGAAGCTGTCCCTTCAGCCTTGCCACATGGAAGTCCTCTGCCCATGCTGGGTGAGTGTTAGGTGTCTCTGTGGTCACCACCCCTGTGCTCTCGCCCAGGGGTGAACCCCTGAAGTCCTGAAGGGGTTTAGATTCCAAAGCCCAGCACAGTGCCACATACACAATGCATTCTCAAGTGGTGGTGATGGTTGGATGAATTTAGTTTTCAGGGTCAAAGTTAACCTGAAGGGAATTGTCTCATTGAGGTGTTCCATGAGGTTCTCTAAACCTAGACCTTTTGTCAGTGACTTGGAGGTATAATATACTTTTAGAGATTTTAAAGTTGGAGCAGAAGGAGAATTAGATAAAAGGCTCAAGGTTCAAGATCTAACAGCCTACAGATTCATCATGAAGATCTAGAAATATAGATAATTTTTATGTAGATTGATTTTCTTGATTTTTCTGTGATGTGCTAAAAGAACAGGTTTGTTTGCTATTTTTGTTTTGGGTTACGAATCTAAGACATATCATCAATCACAGATAACTATATAGGTACTGATGGAAATGATGACATTAATATGCTATATTCCTTGAAATTGTATACTGTGCTTTGAACTATGCATCATTAATGAAGGACAATATGCTGAATATACTGTGTATTATCATTGACCATTCTGTATAGTATAATGTAATATCAATAAAACATTTATTACAGATATTTGTCTATGTCTCCAAAGTTGATGGATACTTTGTTGAAAGACAACTGAAAGCTGACAATAAAATTTTGACAGAAATGATCATGAGGCTTTATATTAGGTCTCAAAAAACTTAACTAGGTAACTAGAGTATAGAGAATATCTGGCTCCATCCATCTATCCATCCATCTATCATATGTGCTAAATATTGTATGAGGAGCTACTTATTTAGTGGGAGACTAACACTGCTTTCTTGTGGAAGGAAATGGCTATTAAGTGAAATGATGTCCAATGCTACCTAGGTCCATGCACAAATGGAAGCAACCACATACGATGGGCCATAGGATATGGAAGTATTCCAGCTTGCAGGTAATGTCCATGAAGAACAGCTGGATGTTAAGTGTGACAGTTAAAAGTAACTTCAAATGCAAATGATACTAGTAGAAACTGAATGATTAAATTAAGTGTGGTGACAGTCCTATTGCCTCTGTGGTGGTCAGACCAATTTTAGACTTCCTTCCAAAGCTGCCAAAGCTGTATTTTAAGACAGTCATTGAGCATATCCAGAAGAAGAATATAGAAACTACACGTTAGGAGGCAAGGCTGAATGAAGATTCACCTGAAGATGTTCAGAAGAGAATAGGAATAATCTTGTTTGTTTTTGAAACAGGGTCTTGCTTGTAGCTCAGGCTGGCCTGCACCTGATGATCCTCCTGACTCAACCTCCAGAGTGATGAGATTACACACATGTACCACCCTGCTCGGCTGGGAATGGGCTTTTTGAAGAAGTGAGCACCTCATCTCAGAAGCATTCAAAGACTGAGAGAACATCTGTTAAGCATTGTGAAGAAGAGATTGCTATTCTGTTTCCCTCAAGGAAAGAGTAGATCTTTATTTCTTTGAGTGGATGAATGATCAAGTACTGCAGATTGCTCTTTCCTCCTAAGAGTTTCTATGTTCTTGGAAAAGCCATATCTTGAAGATGAGAGGAACTGGTCTGTTATTAGTATTGGGCTTCTCTTGTCTTTGAGGTAGGAGGGTGTCTGGGTGTGAGGCACAATCCCTAGTGGACTTCCTATCTTTGGAGCTCTAAGCAACCCACAAGAATTGAACTGCACTTCTCAGTATTTCAGAAAACCCGGATCATGGGACCAGGAAGCATGTTGAGGCTCCCATTAACAATATTTAATTAGGAACAACTGCATGGTACTTTGTTCATAGTGTGTGTGTGTGTGTGTTTATATATGTACAAGTACAATCCTATGAACTTGTAACTACTTCACAGTGTCAGATGGCCCATAATTTATGATTCAACGTCACAGGCTCAATTCTACCTACAAGATCTATAGAATATTCTAGAAAAATGCCTCCCTTACTTTCTCAGGCAGACAGGTGTTTCATTTGCTCTTCTAAGGGCCCTTTTCAGATGATGTCTAACCAGAATGAGTTACCTGAACCCTATAGTGTATATACTCCATTTAATTAAATTACTTGTTGTAATCATTTTATGATTTTTGATAGTGTATCAGTTCTGTCTTTGTTTTCATTTTTAATAGAATATACACAAAGTCCATTAAGATTAAGGCTAAGGCAGCTGTTTACTTGAATCTAAGATCAACATTTTTTTATTAGCAAATAAAAATAGTATTTCAATGACTGTGGAGAACATGAGATATAAATTCAGTGAAATACCATACCTGAGCCACAGACAACAAAAACAAACAGGGCCAACAGCCATGGTCCTACAGGGTATTTCTCTTCTTGAGGCCTCTAAAAGGTAATAAACAAAAAGAGAAATCAGATTCATGGATTCATTAGTGTATACTGCTATGTACTGTGTCATGTGCCAGAGATACTACCGGGAATAAAACAGACTCAATCTCAACTCTCATTGGGTATGTATAAAGTCAATTTTAAAGTTCTGGGATAAGTTAAAAAACTAATTTACTAAGAATTTTATTAACACTGTGCAACTCAATGAACCTAGTCATCTTAAAATATTCTAGGGGCAAGTAGCATATAAATACATAAATTAACAGGGATTTCAGAGACAAAATTATATTGGTAATAACTGTGTCTTTCACTTGAAGGTTTATTCTATGTTAGGTAGTCTATTAGGGAGGCTACATCTATTATCTCTAGCATGCACAACTTAATGCCAACCAAGTATTACTCTTTTCATTTTGTAGTTAAGAAACTGAGATCTACAGTTTGTTAACTTGAGCAGAAGCTGGCATGTGATTTACACCCAGCCTTAACGTTTTCAACTACTGGATTCATCATTCATTGTTATACCCGTATATTCCCAGAAGACCCAGAAAACACAGGAAATTTCTCTCCTTTATGTGACAGGGTCTTGCTATGTAGCCCAGGCTAGCTTTGACCTCGAGATCCTCCCTCCTCTGGCTCTTGGGTGCAGGGACTGTGGCCCAGTCAACACAGGCAAAATGCCTAAACACTTTTATATACCAAAAGTTGGAAGAGTCAGTGCAGTAGAAACCTTCAGGAGCACAGAGGCACCCAGCAACTTAGGCCTTACTGAAGCCTGTGCTTGGAGATGTCTCAGCACTCCCTGGTAAGCAGAAGGGCATGACCACATCTTCACGAATGTTCCCCCCTGTGCCTCCTACTCTTCTCAAACCAAGAGCAAAGGGCATAGGAATGGTCTCCACAACAACTTTATTTTTATATTTTGGTGTCCTGGAAATGAAATCAACCAATGCAAAAAACTTTCTGGAGAGGCATTAGAAGAAGCAGTGATTTGTCATATAAAAAGGGAGAAGAGCTGGGTACTGGTGGCTCATGATTGTAATCGTACCTACTCAGGAGGCTGGAATCAGAGGATTGATTCAAAGCCAGCCCAGGGAAGGAAAGTCTATGAGACTCTCATCTCCAGTTAACCACTAGAAAGTTGGAAGTAGAGCTATGGCTCAAAATGGTAGAGCATTAGCTTTGAGCAAAAGAGCTCAGGGACAGTACCCAGGCCCTGAGTTCAAGCCCCATTACTGAGAAAAATAAAATTAAATTAAAAAAAGAAAAAGAAAAGCAAGAGGTTGGGAATGTGGCTTAGTGGTAGAGTGCTTGCCTAGCATGCAAGCACTAGGTTCAATTCCTTGGTACCACATACACAACAATTAAATAAATATTTTTTTAAAAAAGGAAAAGAAAAGAACTTACTAATTACTTCCTCATTAGCTTGAGCAAACAAGAGGCTACATTTATATAAAATACACAAATACACAGAGTGTATTTGTTGAGCAGATATTGTAACAAATATTTCCTTGTGGTAGAACTCAGAAAAAGGACAGATACTACATCTCTATCAGGTATAAAGCCTGGCTGGAAACAAAGCAGAAAATAAATGCATTTTATTTTGTTTTTGAGTATGGATAAGTGTACAGTTACTTTAAACATAATGCTTTAGCTCAAGCAGAGCAAGTCTGGGTTTAGGTGGGGCATTTTATTAATACTTCCTAATTGGTGATGGGGTTGAGTTATTCCTATAGTTCCCTTTTTAGAGTGGTGAAGACTGAAGTGTCAGTGGCAGGCCTACTATGACTAAGGATCAGAGGCTCTCATTCTCCATTCTCCCTTACTTTCATACTGGAACTGCCACTGCAGGGAATACAAGTGTTGCTCTGGACCAGTCTTCAATAATTACATATGATAATGCTGTGATGCTTTGCACTCAGATATTCAAGCTAGGATCAGGTAAATAATAGAGATTTGAAATAAAGTTACCTGAATATAGTATGATATTTACTCTTTTAACCCTCTTCTACAACCTTTCTAACAACTGGTCATATTGGTCACCATTGTTGGGTCATCAATTCTGCCACTATTGTCCCAGTAATGACACATAAAAATTTATTTTAGCTCTATTGCCAGCAAAGCCACTGAGTGACTTCAGGAGTCTGTTAAGTGATCATCATTGGTCTAGTAACCATGACAACTGGAGTCTTTTTATTTCTCATTTGTAGAAAAACACAAATACTATCATGTAGAGATTGGAGTATATATCAACAATAATAAAAATCCCAAAACTTATTGGTGACATTCTTCAGTGAATCAATGTTATTTTGGTACTTTCAGAGCTCACAAACATCAAAATACCAATATATCTCCTTCTGAGAGTTTTAGGTTATTATTTTTTAGAAGGGGTATTCAGTAGCATCTCACTGTGAGAAGTCACATAAACCAAATTGTATTGCTGGGAAAGGTTGGAAAACAGTAGCTATTCTGTAAATAATCAGGTTCCAGAATATGAGGGTATAGTTTTGCCGGGGTAAGATATAAGCAGGATAACTCCTGTCGTTGCAATTTAATTCCTCCTCTCACTTACCAGGGATTACTATAAGCTCAAAATGTTTATCGCATTTCTCTGTTTCTTATTAATTTATTCTCTCAGAGAAAACAAATACCTATGTACCCCAAGCCCATGAGCTAATAATGAAATATGGAAGCATCTGCATACAATTACAGAAGTTTATTTCTGAACAGTTAGCCTAAATTTTCAGTTGAAATCTGTATATGTGTTCTCATTTACTGAGTTTCATCCTGAATAAGTGTTTTGTTTTCCTTTTTATCAAGTTACTTCCATCAAAGGATAACCATGTTTGACTTGTAATTGGGAAAATGAGATTTAGGATTTATAGAGTTTCTTTTTTGAAGAAGAATTTTATTTTTCTTTTTAGATGCTGACCCATTTTCAATAAAGTTAACCAAAAGTCCCGTCCAACCCATTGAAAATAAACATGTCTCATGGCTTGGTTTAGAAACCTTTCATTACAAATTTAGTTGGGCCACTTAAAGATCATCATAGGCGCCAGGCATTTTTGGAGGGCCTATCCGATAGTGTATCAGAACTTATCTAATGTACTCCTACCTCACATTAAACATAACTTAATGTAGTTCTGAGAGTTGAGTCAAGTTGAATTGCAAATGACTAGTTACATTTGCTAGATATTTAAATAGTGTTTTCCCAGTCTTCACATTTTCTCTTCTTATTTTGGAACTGATAATTTTGTGTGTATGTGTTTTGGGTCTCAAACATTTTTCTAGTGATCTTGAAAAGATAGAGGTAGCAGATGTTGAGTCTTCAGAGCCTAATGGATAAAAGAGCCCTGCAAATTAAGTGTTCTTGTATTATTGCTAATCTTCAGGAATATTAAATCCTGTGTGACTTAACACCAATTAGAATTGCTTTTAAATGTGAATTTTTTTGCTAAAGGAAATGAATAGCGGAAATAGAGATCTACATGAAAAAAAAAACCACAAACGGTTCAGGGTTAATAATGCATCGGTCCTTAGCTGCCCTAGTCATCACTAAATAATTGAATTCCTAAAATGATAAAAAAATTATTTAAGCCTGGAACTTAAAATGAGGGTTTCTCTGCCACAGTGCTGCTTGGTTTTGTGGAAATTCCGGAGTGATGATTGCATATCCAGCTTTTGGCTTAGTTAATCAAACCCACATACATTTTTTTTTTTTTGGCTAAAATCAATGGCCTCATCGAATCTACCAGTGTTTCCAGACAAACTCCAAGTTTCAGCTGGACTTGTATTGAATAAGGTAATAGATGTAGGAGCCTTTGCTTGTAAGACTGGGAAACCAGCTCAACCCAACACTCCAACTTATGCCACTGTAGGTCCAAAGTCACAGACCTGGTATTTTCTGTTGAAAACAATCTGCTTGACTAATAGAAAGGTCTGTGCCCAAGGGCATACATCTGACTTAAAATTGCAGTTGAAAAGCTTTAATCTACAGTTGGGGGGGGGGCATAGAACCTCTGGCCCTAAATTGGTCTCTAGGGTTTTATACCCACAGAATTTCCCCGGACCCATAGGGTGAAGGATAGTAATGTTGCACTTAAACTGGAGCCCAGCAGTAGAAGGAGAGCTCGTAGGAAAAGGGCAAAAAGAGGATGAAGGAAATGTGGGTCAGAATCTCGTTTCCCACTTTGAGCTTTCCAACACACACAGGGAGACCATGACGCAGTGACTGGAGTGGGAGAGAGAGAGCAGAGAGGCAGGCTAAGAGCTAGAGATACTAAATGGACTCATCCATCTATCCCTCCCTCCCTCCATCCATCCATCCATCCAGCCAGCCAGCCAGCCAGCCAGCCAGCCAAAGCGTGCTAGCACCTTCGTTCCAGGCCCACTATTCATGCAGTTGGCTTAACTGTACCCCAAATGATGTGGCTTTCTGACTTTGCCAAGGACACGGGAGGCTCCTCCGTGGCCCTCAGATAGTCTAAGCAGCCACTCCCAGAGGAGCTACGATCAACCCCACCATCCTGGCCCGTGAGGAGGGCAGCGCTGTCTGCCCTCCCCACTCTCCCTCCCTCCGCCCCCTCCCCAGCCCACCTGGATTCTACGCATCCCCAGAGCCCAGGTACCCAATTGCTGGAGGCCTGGCCGGGGGGCCCGCCGCCGCCAGCCCG